AAATGGGGAGATTTTCCAGCCACTACTGCGGAACTTGAGCGCCTCTTCAGTGTTTATAAGCAGAGGAAGCTCTTAACACCCTGGAGGAAAAGGCGAAGGCGGGGTTCACAGGGCCAGGAAGGTAAAGCCCAGGCGTCCAGCAGGGAGACGCCCTTCCTGAGAGCAGCGCTGGGGGACGTCATTCCGGATGGAATGCCGTCCACTGTCAGAAGGAACATCCTGAAGTCAGAGGAGTCCCGCGGTGAGACAGGCTTCCTTTTGTGCCTTAATCCATGTTTTTATTTATTTCTTGTATCAAAAAGCATTATCCTAACTAATGTAGCAGTAAATCGAATGCAGAGAGGAGATTAATCGAGAGAGGGAATTCTAATGGTTTGTAATTTGCACCTCAGGGCCGGAAATGACCTTCTATTTTTTTGGACTATTATGCCATCATTTTCCTTTCATTTAATTCATTTATTTTACTGTGGTCAGACCCTCCACAGGAGGCCTGCACTCCTCACAATCAGTACTGCTGAGTGCAGGAGCACTGTGGAAGGACAGACTCCTCCCAGGGTGGAGAACAGCCCTCCCTGTTCCGTATTCAAGTACAGGCCCTGCAAACCCTGATGGTAATGCATTCAAAGACACTTGGCCATCAGGAAGGTACTTTTATAATACTATGTACTTATTAATAAATGGGTAGTAAGTATCCACAGTGTGCCCAGCACTGCTGAACCCTTGAGAATTCAGCAGTGGCCAAAACAGACCCAGGCCTTGCCCTTTCGGAGCTAAGCAGGGAGATATGATAATAGGCCATTGTCAATCATGCAAATTCAAGGAGGCAATGCAGAGGGAACTGAGTGCCTACAACAGAGCAGCCCACCTGGTCTGAAGCTCACTCCTGCAGAATTTACACCTGGGCTGAGCCTTCAAGGTGCACAGGTGAAAGAAGGTGCTAGAACATTCCTACAAGTTTCTTTCCCGTGTTTAGTTTCCCCACATGTGTGTCCAGGGCTGTGGGATGTGAAGGAACATTCAAGAATGTCCAAGGATCCAAACAGCCCTGTTCCCTTAAAAGATCCTCCCAAGTTCCCTCTTTATCAGCAGCCGATGACAACGAGAAAATGTCCCTCGGGGCCACCGTCTGCCAGCTCCTAGAATGAAGGGAGGCAGGCAAGCAGACTGAGCTAAGTTCTGGAAGAAGCAAGCTTGGTGGGAGAGCTGAGCACCAGCCAGGGAAATGGCTCTGCCTTCCACGGGGGGCTCAGAGAGGGAAGAGAGACATTGCTCAGATGTTTGTCCTTTCTGAAAAGCTCAAACCCCCAACCCTGTCTCCTAAAACATTCTTTTAAGAAAAACAACTGAAAATACAAAGACACCACGTGAGGATTTGGAAATAGGAAATATAAAGACAGTTGGACAGTGGGTAGGGAGCGTTTCTCTCTTTATTGAAATGTTTGTTTTTGACATAACTATAAGGAGTTTTTAAGTTTTTTCCCTCACCAAAAAAATGAGGAATGTAGACGAGAGTCAGCCCAACCTGTCCAAAAAAGCGAACTCAGTGTTTCCCAAATCTTAATCACTTCCAGTTTCCACCAGACCCAAATACCACCTGAATTTTTATTCTTACAGAATATTTTCCTTTACGCTAACCCATTTTTAAAGCTTGCTACTTATTGAAGTCTTCTCTTATGATAATATATGATATCATATATTATAAATATAAAAATATTTATATAAAATATAAAATAATACCTATGAAAACATAGTTCTGCCAAGCTGATCATATTAAAATCAAACCTACTGCTGATTTCTATTTTTTTTTTTTTTTTTTTTTTAGATGGAGCCTCAAGCCATCCCCCTGGGTAGAGCGCCATGGCATCACAGCTCACAGCAACCTCCAACTCCTGGGCTCAAGCGAGTCTCCTGCCTCAGCCTCCCAAGTATCTGGGACCACAGATGCCCGCCACAATGCCCGGCCATTTTTTGGTTGCAGCCATCATTGTTGTTTGGCGGGCCTGGGCTGGGGATTCGAACCCGCCACCTTAGGTGTATATGGCTGGCACCTTAGCCGCTTGAGCCACAGGCGCCGAGCCCCTGCTGCTGATTTCTGTTGTCACTGCTCTGAGCGTCCCTGAAACAGCCTTCTATACTACCTCCTACCCATTATGTGATCTTTAAATTGGGAAGTGCGGATCTTCCCTGTTGGTGTCTTGTTCTTGGACCTAGAAATATAAGCTGAGCCAGGGGCAAATAAAAGTGGTCCAGGAGGGGGAAGGTGCCTGATGCCTGTAATCTCAGCGCTCTGGGAGATTGAGGGGTGAGGATCCTTTGAGCTCAGAGGTTCAAGACCAGCCTGAGGCAAGAGCGACACCCCAATCTCTACTAAAAATGAAAAAATGAGCCAGGTGTCGTGGTAGTGAACACCTATAGAACTAGCTACTTGAGAGGCTGAGGTAGGAGGATTTCTTGAGCCTAAGATTTTGAGGCTAGTCTTAGAAACAACAGCAAGACCCTATCCCTACAAAAAAGAAAAAAAAAAGAAATGAAAAGAAAAGAAAAGAAAAGACACAGAAAAAATGAGCCAGGGATAGTGGGACGCACCTGTAGTCCAACTACTTGGGAGGTGAGGCAGGAGAATCACTTGAGCGCAGGAGTTCGAGGCTGCTATGAGCTATAATGAGGTGATGTCACTCTAGCCTGGGTGGCAGAGTGAGGCTCTGCCTATCCCACCCCACCCCCCAAAAGTGATAAATACATGCAGTGGTCTCTGGACAGGCTCAGTGCCCTGTCCCTGTGTGAGAAGGCAAAACCTAGACCGCAGGAGGCAGGCTGAGCAATGCCCAGTCCCTCCTCTATGTCCGCCCTCAGCCTCACGCCAGCACCATCTCACAAAGCCAACGCTGGTGTCAGGTTTCCTGGCTTCGCTTTATGGCTGGCTGTGCCATAAAGAAAGTGGCCACATGAAAAGTATCATAAAGGGTTCCAATTAACCTACCACACAAAAGAAACCTATAACAGAGTAGCATGGGGAGCTACAGTTCCCAGCTTTCGCCACCACCCCAAGCTCTCGTCTGTCTGCTTTTTTCTGAGGTTGAAATGAGGCAACACACGCACCCGCTCATAGCAAGGGGTTCTCGATTGTGTGTCATTGTTACAATTCCTTCAATTGCCATAGCCTCTCTGTTGGAAGGGCACAGGCAAAGTGGCATCTCATTGGGAAAAATACCCCAGTGAAGAAGGAAAAGAGAGAAATTTGGAGTCGTTAATAGACAGGTTATTACCTGGTAGCCTCTCACCTGGTAGCCTCGCGACAGCCAGGCTGAGTGCTAGGAACATCTCAGCTTTTAGTCTTTACAACTCGTGGGAAGTCGCCTCGACCACGAACCATTTTACAGATAAGGAACTTGGACTCAAACAGGTTATGTGGCTTTCCAAGGTCACCTCCAAAAGGACCGAGCTGGGATTGGACCCCAAGCCTCCTTCACGATGACCACGAGGGCCCTCGGACTTCTCAGCCTTGTGATCACCGTGCAGGAGGGATAGAAGACCCCACGGAGAAGAGGCTCAACTCCAGCCAGTCGGAACCAGAAGGGATCCCTCAAGAAAAACTGGAAGTTCATAAACATTTCCTATTTTTCAATGGTGGCAGCAGATTTAAAATTTAACCCTGTGTCTGCTGAACTGAACGTAACCACAGGCCAGAATCAGCTCCGGGGTCTGTTGTTTGTGACCTCGGAGCTTAGAGGAAACTTCTCCAGTAGCCACACTGCCCGTGCCTCTGTGCCCAGCTCCCTTCTGGGTTAGGGGTCTCTGAGGTTCCCCAATCACCAGGAGCCCTGGGCCTATACCATTCCCATCTGCAAAGGAGACCAGCTCCCGAGTGGTGGCCACAGCCACAGGGACGCTGCTACTCCCCATAAACCCAGAGAAAGCGCTGCGGAGACACCGCCCGCCTAACCGGCCTGGCAGCATCGTCATTCTGTTTGTCCTCCTTGCTCTGTCATTGGCCCCAGGGTGTTTTTAATTTGGAGGACTAAATAAGCTGGGTATGTATACAGGGCTCTCTGAACTCGGGAACAGCTCAAGCTATCAATTTGTAAACCTGGCTGTGGTTTGGGACCTCAAAACCATTTCTCAAAATTCTACTTTCCACGAAGTCCAAAATGCATCCTCCCACGTGTTTTTGCCTCTTTAAGCTTTTGTTTATTTTTATTGGAACGTAGTGCACATTGTCCTCAAATCGTGTACAACAAACTTGTCACTCAAGGCCCTCTGATCTCCAAAAAGCCCGAGAGCTTCAGACAGGGCCTGCATTAAACTTTCTTCCTCCCTGGAAATAAAAATCTTTCATTTTGCCCAGGGAAAAGGCACTTGAAGGCTCAAAGCTGGTTTGGAGGGCAGAGAACAAACAATCCTCCGAAAGTTTCAAATGTGGCCCAGATGCTAGAAAGCAAGTTCCTTTTCACGTGGAAAAAAAAATGTAGGTTCCTAATTTTTCTTTTGCACATGTAACTTTTGTTCATCGTATTACTTTAGCCGCAGGCCTGCAACCTCTTTCGGGGACAGGTCTACCCACTGCCCAGCTGCTCTTGATAGACACGAGAGCAGCAGCGGGTGCTGTGAGTCTTAACAGGCAGCCCTGCCCAGCCTGCACCCACATCCCAGAGCCAGGAATAAAGTTTTGGGAGCCACACCACCAATTTCCTCCCACAAATGCCAAGCTCCTGTCCGCATACTCGTGTGACATCACCGTGTCTATTTTTTAAGGAGGTTTTTTCCTCCTCTCCTTTACAAGATTAAATATTTTGATCTTACTTCTCCATAAGTCGCTATCATAACTCTCAGCCTCCAGGACAAGGCTGTGGTTACAGGAGCCTGAATCTCCCCACCCTACCCCTTCCTGCACTTAAAGTGTCCATACATTCTGCAAGGGATGAGACCTTTGCGCGGACCCCTGCCAACAGCCAGAGCAGTGGCTGCTCCCTGGTGATGACACCGCAGGCACCAACACTCACCTTCAGGGCCGCAGCGCGCTGGGTTACTTATGCAGGAGGTCTTATAGCTGCTGTAGTAGAGAAGGGTGACCCCTTTATCCTCCTTGAGGTAAATGCCTTTGTTGACCCTCCCTTCTACAATATCTGAGAAAGAAAAATGATGCCACGAGTCAATAACTGTGAGATTAAAAGCCTAAAGGCATAGGGCAGATGTACTGCTTATATATATAAGTACACACTATTATACTAATAGTATACACTATTATTTAGCTAATTTTATTTTTATAATCTACATTAATCTGTAAAGGTAATATTATAGAATAGATTAATGTTTGATCATTAACAGTTGAATTATAAATAATTAACATTTACATGTTAGGTAATAAATTAGTATTAAACCCCATTAATGAATGCTATGTTTGTATGAAATATGTATTATAATATTATGATTATTACATTGGCCGACAGGTGCACCTCCCAGAGTGACAAGATGCAAACCTCCTACTGTCCTGAACTTTGGGGGCATCAACAGCTTCCCAGGTCCTTCCAGCTCCCACCCTCACACTGAACTCTCCTAGGAAAACGTTCCAGTATGAATGTGAACAGAAAACTACCACTGAATTCTCTCTCCTCTTGGGTTCTGATTGAAAACACAGATCCCAGACATAGGCATTGGGGACTTTTTATTTTTAAGAGAAACTCCCATTTTCAGACCCTAGGAGGAAAACCCAGAGTCACATTTTAGTAGTCCAAGAAGAGCCTGCCCACTGCACTTGCAAGTGGCCATGCGTGTGGGTGCATGTGCCCTGCCCCATGCAACTACCTTGTTCCCACAGCAAATGTGTCTGATGCTGACAGCATGGGGTAAATGGTTTACAGAGTAGATAAGTGAAGACCATAAAAACTAGGAGTGATCAGGCACTTATTAGTAACTGGGGTCACAGGCACTCAGATAGCTCAGCCAACCACCTGGGCCGGGCAGAGGATGCCGAGGTCACCACCCAGCTGTAGATGTATGGAAGAGCCACTCGGTCTTTGGGCCCCATCTCAGGTCTTCTAACCACCACTGTCACCAATGGTCACCAAATTGAGAGCCTCAGCATTCTACCTTACCGTCTTTAAACCCATCTCTTTTTATTTATCCCATTGATTGTTAGGAGAGAGCTATGTAATGTAAATTTAAATGGGTATGTCATGACACCTGTGGCTCAGTGAGTTGGGCACCAACCCTCATTATACCAAGGGTGGCAGGTTCAAACCTGGCCCCAGGCCAAATTACAACAATAAATGGATATGTCCTGCACAATACTATTACGCTATGTGATTGGCAAAATTAATGCTGGGAAGCCAAACACCTCACAGTTGAAAGAGCAATCAGTTTATGTGTTGAAAAAAGATCAAACCCACGGGATCTGAACTGGCACTCATGCTGGCCAAACAAATGCCTCAGCTGCTATCAGCAAAGTGAGTTGGGTGGGAAAACACAGGCCACGTGGGCTCTGGAGGTCATTAAATCAGGTAATCTAATTGTGACTGGCATGGGTATGTGTCTCGTAAAACAGCTTCTAAACAATTCCTTTTCAATCCACCTGCAGAAGAAATGCAGGTTTTAATGTCTGTAACAGATCGAATTTTCAATGAGGCATTTTAAAATCAACTTCACTTTTTCATTAAAAGGGCATGATTTTCCTAGCCCAAAGAATAGACTCCGTTTAAAGATCCAAACAACTCCTGTGTTTAGAAAAGTGTCTCCTTTTGTGTCTGTTTTGTTCTGGAAACAAGCAGCTGGTTCAGAAGATCTTAGTAACTTGAAAGAATCTGAGGTTAGACGACTAAGTTCTCGAACTTGTCCTAAGAAAAGTGCTACATACCTCATTGCTGAATAGCACTACAGTCACCAGATGGCCAACGGGAGCCCTTTGAAGGTGACCATAGTGACAATTAACAGTGAGGTACATAGTACTTTTTCTAGGATGAGTTCACTAACTTAATTGTCCAACCCGTATACCTACCTTCCAATGTATTGCAATCACTCCTTTAGAGTGAACCCTAAGTGATTATTTTTAACATGTGCGTCTGCTGCTCCTGACTTGGACATTTGCCCCTCTGCTAGCCAAGATACAGTGAATTCAAACACCACCAAATCCAAGTGGCCTTGAAATTCATTGCAGGTGCAAACGTGACGAACGAAGAACAAACAAATAGGAGTGCTCACCTACGGTTGCAGAGAAATTTGAGTAGGCAGAGTCATTGGTATATACAAAGGTAGAATTATGGGAAGGAAGCACAGTGAGGTTGTGGGTTCGTAACGCTGGGTGAAACAACAAAAGAGAAAAGCACAAAAAATGAATGAGACAAAAAACAAAACAAATGGAACCAACATATCTCTCAACCTATAACGTTTGTCGGGAAGGGCTCCCTCTGCTTGAGGAGCACCCCAAATTTTCTCTCCCATCTTCCTTCCCAGCAACAGGAGGGCTCACTTCTGGGCCCCCCACCCGAGTCCCACGACCAGGGCATGATCACAGCTAAATGTGGTGGGAGCAATAGTTCCGAATTGGCTGGCTCCAACTCCTGCATGGATACTTAGTTGAGAGATACGAAATTGAACTTAGGCCGTTTATAAAATAGCTTTCACAGAAGGATTAATGGTTATGACGTCACGAGGACGGAGGAGACAGAAACAACATGAGAACTGCATGGGATTATGACACATGGACAGAACAACAGAGGATTCGACAAGAAATAACAAAGCTGCATGTCCACGGACTGTTCCCGGCAGCAAAATGTGCTGCCGATGGATCCTGTTCTTGGGTTTGTTTGTTTTTTTCTTTTTCTCCTGAAGAAGTCTATAATCAAACTGAAATATGCCAGCGTAGCATTATAACACACAGAATGGCTCCAATTATGAAATTCTCACAATTCCCGTGTTCAGAACACTGATGTACCTAGAGCTGTGCTAGAAGGCAATACAGTCAGTGAATAAAATTCCCCTGCATGCATAACCATGTGTGAATAATTCGATCACCTCATGAGAAGACGTTGTCATAGGTAAATGTTTAAAGAACACCAAGAGTTCCTGATTCAAGGCACAAGAATGAGTCTGCGGACGGGGAAGTGAAGGGAGAAATATGCTGAGAGTGATTCAAGCTCTTGTTCGAAATCACTCCTAAAAGTTAGTGGCTGGGTCCTAAATAAGGAGATATTTCAACAACGCATTTCCATGTGGTGAAATGATCCCCTTTCAATGGCTTTACATTAAAGCCCCTGAACAAAGAAAATTCAATCATAACAAGGGAAAGTGGGGCATTTTAACCTGTGCCAGTCACATAACGAACTTGCACCGGCCTCTTTCCATCCCTACAAGGCAGAACGTGCCACAGAAAATACTGGCGTGCTAGTGCGGAAAGCACAGTCATCAGTAAGATGTGACTTTTCTAAAAAAAAAAAAAAAAAAAAATGCATTACAAAGGACCAGTGTGGGGGCCGGCACCTGTGGCTCAAGGAGTGAGACGCTGGCCCCATATACCGGAGGTGGCGGGTTCAAACCCAGCCCCAGCCAAAAAAGAAAAACACTGCAAAAAAAAAAAAAAAAAAGAACCAGTGTGGGAATGACTGAAACAGGTGCTTGGACTGCTGCACGGTAAAGCCCCCTGCTGTATACCTCAGCCATCTGACATGACCAACAGCCCTGAGTCCATAAAAATAAAAATGTGAAACTATCCCAAAAACTTACAGTTGGAAGAAGGTTCTTATTGGAATGGGGAAAAAAAGTACTCAGGGATATCTTGGGTTTCTCCTATTAGCAAATGGATGAGTTAAGTCAAACAAGGATACTATTTGGATCCCACTGGAAGCTCTCGGGTGTGGGGAGCTGAAAGGGAGGGGCTGGTACCCTTGCCAGTGGCCTGGAGCACGAGTCAGTCTTAGTTGTCACAACCCCGGCCCCTGCCTCAGACAGGCCGCTGCTGTGGCAGGAATATAGCGCGTGCCGTTTTTGTCAACCCAGGAAGCAGACACTGGATTCATCATTAGAGGGAACCACGATAGCAGCTTCTTCTGTTTTGAGGGTGGGGAAATTATACATTTTAATCACATTTTGAATCAGAAATGCTGTCCTTCAATATACAATAGTTCTATGTATAAAAGTTCTAGTAAAAGACTTGGAAATAGTTACTAGGGGAAAACTACACAAAGATTGACTCATCTCTTCAATTCAAAGCAGATTCCTCCCCCTCTGGCCCCCAGTGGCTCTTGGCTTCCTGCAACCACAGCGGTCCTCACCACCCGTGTCTACCTCCGGTTGTATCCTGAAGTTCCTGGATCCCGTCCACGTTCTCCAGTGGCCAGTAATGGGAAGCCGAAGCCAACACCTCAAACCCTTGGGGGGAGAAAAAAAGAAGGAAAAGGTTAATTCACGTTAGGGAGGGAGGAACTGAAGATATAAAGAATTGCTGAGCACATGCTTTACGAGAGAAGAGCAAAAGTACCAGGGTGACCTGGGCAGGAGTTGAAAAGGCACCGGGTAAAAGTCAATACACATTCTCAGTTTTAAAAAAAACAACTCTTAAATTAGAAATCGGTAAATAGCTCCTTAACTGGACAAAACAGAATAGACGGGAATAGATAGACCCCTCTTAACTCATGGAAACAAAAGTCACCCTGCCTAATGGGGGGTGACACACCAGCAGCGCGCCCATTAGCGTCAGCAAGGAGACAAGCTGCCCATTATCCTCCTCCTATTCCACATCGCCTTGGAGAGAAGATCTAATGCAAGCAGATGACAGAAAGAAGTAAGATTAAAAATAATTTTAAAAGAGGAAGAAATCAACATCAATATCCTGCCGGACGTGACCTGAGGTCCTTAAACACCTCATCCTGGGATAACCTGCAACACAACTGTGCTCTTAGCCTGTCTGTGAAGATGAGGATGGGGAGTCCTGCTCGGGTCACGAAGCGGCAAGTTGTGGATGCGACACCCACGCGCAGGTCGGAGTTTAACCCTGGGCTTCCCGTCATCCTTCCAGGTTTCCTCCACACTAAAAATTACTCAGTTTGACGTTTCCTTTCCACGCCTTGTAGGTTGTGCGGGCAGAACCTTTCACCAATGTAATTGTTTTCGACTTTGCTCTTATTTAATAGTGTGTGAATTTTTTATCTGTCCTCACAGTGGAGTCTGGATAACATTCCCCTGAGTAGCTGCATCATTAACAATATCCCTCGTCAGTCTCCGACTAATGTATCTATCACCGAGAGTTTCCCATTTATAATTTCATAGGTCACTCTCACACGACAGGCCCCATGCCTGTGACACTCATCCTTTCTTGGATTTGTCCTTTGAGATGAGTTCTCAGAAGTGGAAATAATGGTCCAGATGACTAAGTAATAACCAACTGCCCTAAACATCTGCTAAGTCATAGAAGAATAAAAATTAATAATGTAATCTTTGTGCTGTTCTTTGTAAAAAATAAACTCCTAAAAGAAGAAATGATAGGATCATTATTTTCAAATGATGTACGCCTGATAACCAAAATGAAAAACTATTACACATAAGAAAAGAATTTGGTAAGTGAAAAACTATTACAAACGATAAAAGAATTCAGCAAAAGGCTTAGACGAATTTAATACACAAATGTCGATAGCTTTCTTGTGTTCCAACAATAGTGCTTAAATAATAGAAGAAAAGGTCTCATTTATCAGCGTAGCCAATGGAGAGAGAACATTTAAGAACAAAAGAGTAAGAACTGTATAAGATTCTCAGAAAGAAGACAATAAATAATAATGCTGAGAGATGGTAAAGAGCTCTTGAATAAATGAAGGACTTAACCTATTCTTGGAAAAGCAGACTCAAGATTATAGAAACATCAACAATTCTTTAATTAATCTATAAATATTAAGCGATTTGCTGTAAAAATCCTGAGAGAATTCTTTGAGAGGGAAATCTGATTACGGAGCTTATAGTAAGCAAAAATAATCAAGAATATCTGAAGAAGAAAGATAAAAGTTTAATGAGAGAGGATTAGCCCTCGAGATAAGACGTCGTAAAGCCCCAAGAATGAAGATGACTTGTCACACATGAACAGACAGTTCAGCGGGATAAAAGTCAACAGATTCTCCCAAGCACATGTGGAAATTTTGTTTCTGATAAAGGTGGCATTTTATTTTTTACGTTGAATTTTTAAAAATGTTTTAATTAAATCATAACTGTGTACAATTATAGGGTACAATGTGCTGATTTGGTATATACAATGTGGAATGCTTAAATCAGACTGATGAACATAACCATCATCTCACTTACTTATTTGTTGTGGTCAGACATTTATACGATACCCTCAGTATTTTTGAAATGTGCCTTTGCATTATGCACATGTCTTTAATCACCAGAAAAATGCGAATCAAACCCACTTTGAGATATCACCTAACTCCAGTAAGATTAGCTCACATCACAAAAGCCAAAAGCCAAAAGCCCAAAATGGCAGATGTTGGCGTGGATATGGAGAGAAGGGACACTTCTACCCTGCTGGTGGGAATGCAAACTACTACGGCCTTATGGCCTTTTTGGAAAGAAGTTTGGAGAATTCTCAGGGAACTAAAAGTTGACCTACTGTTTGATCCTGCAATTCTTCTACTAGGTATCTACCCAGATGATCAGAGGTGGCATTTTAAGTCAGAAGAGAAATAGTATCCAACAAGAGGTATTGGAACCAGTTAGCCATCTGGAAAAAATTAAGATCCCTACCTCATTCTTTATACCGTAATGATTTCCAGATGGATCAAAATTTAATTTTTGTAAAATAAAACATGAAAGCTTCTGAGGAAAACAGACTATAAATTGGCTATATACATTTTTAAAATTTCTATACACACAGGGAAAAAAAGTCAGGCTAAATCAAATGAAGGAATTTCACTTAAATAACACATAGGACAGAAATATACTGATTTCTTTTTAGATATACTAAATGTATCAAATTAGTAAAACTCCTACTACTAAGGAAAAATAAAACAGCATGATATTGGGCCAAAGGACATAATAGGACAGGTTAAAGAAAAAGAAATACTAATGATTTTTACATATGTGAAGTGATGTTTAACTTTGCTCATAATTTTTTAAAGTATGTTAAAACTCCAATGAGATGGCCTATCAAAGCTGAACTATCATACCAGCAAACAGAAAGTTAGATACACTCAGTTGACAATTTCTACCACATTTCTGAAGGGAGTTCAAGTTCAAATCAGTACAGCCTTTCTGGCAGGCAATTTGGCAATACCTATCCCGATTTTAAGTGTACATTTTCTTTGATCTAGTAATCCCACTCCTAGGAATTTATTCTAGAGATAGACTCATGCATACGATCAAAGACTTATATACAAGGTTTATTTGCTGCAGAATTTGCTATCAGAAGCCTGAGAATAGCTTAAAAGTTCATCATCACAGGGCTGGCTGACTAAGCACGCCACATCCGTACAACAGACCATTGTGCAATTAGGACAAATATTGAGGTCCATAAAAATACTGATGTAGGATGTTCTTTGATTGATATTGTCAAGTTTTAAAAATTCAACGTGAGAAAAAAATATGTGTACCATGAGCTTCTGTTTAAAATACAGGTGTTCAGGGCGGAGAAGGGAGGTGGGCAAGAGAGGAGAGAGAGACCTGTTTGGCTTGATACCCCAGAAATTGATGCCAGTATTTTGGGCATGAAAAGATTGAGGAACTGGGTGTGATGTGTAAGAAGAAGAATTATGTTGTGTTATCTTTTGTTCTATTAGAATTTGGGGTCTTGTATTCCTTTAAAAAATATTTTAAGACCTGCTGTCACAATTAAAAATGACCCTAAGTGGTGTCCATACTCCATTTTCAGATAGAACCAAAGCAGCCCACCTGACATCTGAATTTTTGTCTACAGGATGCCAAACGTCTGCGTATGTCTAAATTGTTGATTCCTTTTTTCAGTTTGCATCTGTCGCTTTGGTGTTAGATACCCATGTCCAAAATATAAGCCAAGAGCAAAGCTTGCTCTCTAATGTAAGCTAAAGAGGAGTCTCTAAACAACAACTTAACTCTCCCCTGCTTGTTAAAAAGTAGCATCTGACTTCACTCGATTTCCAGTGGGAGTAATTCTGCCACTATAATGCGATATTGAGAATCTAAAATTCAAAACTCAAAAAACAATCTTTTTTATTTCTACTCTGATCCGCCCCCCACCATCTAGGGTATTCAATTTGAAGAAGAAAAAACCTCATTGACTTATTATTCAATTCATCTGGGAAAGAGTCACAAAAGGAAATAACATCTGTTACACAAAGAACAGATGCTGTATCTTCAGAACTCGCATCTTCATAAAATAAGCCCTGCGGACACTAAATCCTTTCTGTCGTTTCCATTTACAAATGGAATGGAGTGCTGTTCACCTCGGAGGACTCACCCCAAAGCCAGCCAGTGTCCAACAGTCATTGGGGGTGGGGGGCTGGGTTGTTTCATGCAACAGATGAAGGGGCTGCAAACAGAAACATCTGTGGGGGCAGGCAAGGCATGAGAGGTGCCTGGACAGAGGCCAGGGACAATATCCCACACAGTTAACAACCCCAAAGGAGCAGCACTGCTGCTAAGAACAGATGCTGGGCGCGCACCTGTATCTCTCTCGGCTGTCCTGGCCGAGTCTCAGAGCAGGGGAGGCTGCAGAAAAAGGACAGTGTGTGCCTGATGCAAATAATGTCGCTGCTTCCTGACGCCAAATAACTTTTGCTCTGGAGAAGAGTCTGCCCAGAATTGCCAGGTATCCCAGTTTTTTAAGAGAAGTCAGAAATTCAGAATTTTTCATTTCAAATCTCCCGCCCTAATTTTAAGGTTAGCCATTTTTCAAAAATTACATTGTGTGATGCTACAGGACTGAACTTAGCCCATGGGCTCCCTTTTACAACCCGAGGAGTAAAACGAACTGTAGTCCTAAAAGTTTCACCACAACAAGAAAATCTCCTTCTTTTACAGAAAAGGTACCTATGGCTCTTTACCCGTCAAGGTGACATGAGATCATCTAGTGCACAGTCACCTCAGCTTTCACCAGGTAACATCTCATAGAGAATAGATGTCTACTGAGACCAGATAGCAGCTGAGGACTAACGCGGCTCCACTGGGGACTTCAAAGTACGCCCAGGCTTCACAAAATGAGTAGGAATGGAAAACAGAGGGGTGGGGAGGGAGAGATGCCGCACACTCAGAAGGTGCAGAGGGACAGGTTTTTTAGCGCAGTTATAAATCGGATCTTCAGAATTAATTCTCATTCATATGAAATGTTGCATTGACTTGATGGGGAGCAGTAAGAGAGAGAGGAAGAGAAAAAGTGAGAGGGAGGGAAGGAGAAGGAGGAGAAGCAGGAGCGTTAATCTCAAAAAAGTCAACTTTCCCTTTTCAGGTTTTCTTCCAGATTTCCCTCCCTATTCCTATCAATTCTGTATTATTGATTTCTCCTGTCAGTGAAGGGAATCCGCGTCCCTCGGTTTCCTTTAGGGAAATGTAACTTCAGCCTTCTGTTGACTCCATCCACTTGAAATCTGCATCACACAGAGAGGCGGCCTCTGCCACCTGGGACCATAGGGCAGCTCCACGTGCCTATATCTTATCTTCCTTTGCCTCCGACACACAAAGCCAGTTCCCCGCTCCCAAAACTTCGTCTGCTATTCCCTCTGCCTAGAATGTGTTTTGTGCGGCTGACTCTAAAACTCAGCTCACACGACCTTCCCCACAGACCACCTTTTTGTCACCACCACCTGCCACTCTTTCTCCCAACTCCTTATTTTGCTTGGTGTGGCATGAACCGTTATTTTGATTTCTCCATTAGTACATTTGTCTGCTGTGTCATATACCAGACTCTCTATCCCTGGACTGGACTCTTTCCACCGTATCCCTCAGGTCTGAAATGAGGTCTGGGGTGGGTGGGTGTGTTTCAGAAATTCAGATTTCTCCTCTTGAAACCTCCCAAATTTTAATGTTAACAACACTCATTTTAATGTTAAAATACAACTATACAGATAGAATGAATGATGAAATACAAAAACAAATAAATATAGAATATAATTATATATATAACTCCGGTAACTCAGAAAATCTCTGTTTGCCAAATTCCCCTTTGTTCAATAGGGTATAAGTTTGTTTTAAAAAATTCTATCATAAACATACTTTTTTTCCCCACTGGGAAGATGAAGAATAAAGTTCCTGCCCTGACCCAGAAGTTATGACAGTCCTTTATAAACTATAGAGCATTATGTAAATATAAAGCATGGTAATTACTATAATCATCTGTTTGGGCCTCCCAGATCCCTAAATAGGGCTGGTGGGGTGAGCGGCCCAACCTCCCTGACACAGACTGGAACCATCTGCACCACGTGCCCCAGGACCAGCAAACTTCTAGATAATGACATGTTTTGTTTTCTTTTTTCTTTTTTTAAGTTCCCTTTTCCTCACTATAAAAATTATCTATAAAACTGAATGTTTATAAACTTTTAAATAAACGGCCTGAAATTTCTTGGCCAATGCCATTTATGGATTTAGATCAATCAACCATCACAACTTGTCCCTGGGGAGGAGAGGCAGGACACCAGCCGCCTGGGGCCATGGATTAGGTTCAGACCTGGGTGGGTCCAGTCTCCGGAGCCCTGCTGTCCTTTCTGAGCCTCACCTTCCTTGCCTGGCTTCCCTACAAAATGGGAAGGTGGGTGTGCAAGTCCCCAGTTCCCGTCCAACAGCAGCACGCTGCAATTCCTCTAAAACCACAACCTACAGTCCCAGATCAACACGGATAATGCAAAGGCTCAGAACCACTTCGAGTGGCTTTGCGATTATTTACAAAACTAAACAGTGTCTGCACAGTGGCCAATGCCGGCCACGCTCGCACCCAGGGCTTACATGTGCAGCTTGACCATCCTGCCGGCAGTGACTCAGGTCCCCAGACAACCCGCAAATCTTTACCTAATGACTGAGCACTTGAGGGGCATAAGGACACTGCTGGGGGCTGGAGTGAGAGAACAGGGACAGTGGCAAGGTTCTAGAAAAACCTTTTTTTAATGTTTGGCGAGCTTGTGGTGGGAAACAGGCTCTGGAGACCAGGGTTCCAGTCCCAGGGACCCCTCCGTAAGGCTCACCTTGCACCTGGGTGCACCTGCGTTATTTTGTAATAATCTCTTTATGTGTCTGTTTCCCCAACTCCCTTACAGGCACAAGTGGCCTGAGGCTAATGCTAAGACGTGGGTCTGTGGCCTTGAACAAGTCACTGCACCTGCCTGAAAGACAAACGTCCTCTGCAGCAACCATGAGGCTCCCAAGGGTTGTGGTGAGAGCCTGTGGCACTGCGTGCAAGGGCCCAAGGCTCTGCCACATTGGCAGCTCTCAGACCTCCCGGAGAAGGAAGTGCTGCGTGCTGCGAAGCCGGGCCCTTGCTGATGGACACTCACGTTGTTTCTAGTCTTTCCTAGACTTCCCAGCAGGCTCTCTGTGTGTTTGGGGTGTTCACGTCACCCACGAGCACCAGGGTTGGGTTTCTGCTCCAGGCCTCCCACCCAGGCATCACGGGCCTCAGGGTCTCGGGCAGGAGTGTGAAAGGATAGCCGGGTCTGGAGGGAACCTAGGGAAGGGGTGAGCAACGTCCAAAATGTGGGAAGAGCAGGCAGGAAGAGAGGACTGGGTGGGGTGGAGGGAGGGGAAATGGGAGAAAGAAAAGCAGATAGAGCTGAAGTGAGAGAGGAGGAGGCAGGACGGGGCGGTGGGGGGAGGGATGCAGTGTGGTTCTATCCCCCGGGGGACCCCTCAGTGCTCAGGGGATGTGAGCCTTCACCACTGTTCCACAAAAGGAAAGAGAGAGGAAAAGGAGGAACTGAGAGATTAAAGAAAACCCCACAAAATTGAAAATGGGGGGGGAGTGAGGGAGAATTAGAAGAAAGGGGGAGGCTGGTGGCAGGAAAGTCAGGGACAGGGACACGTCCCAGGATAGGCACCTGGTTTAAGGGCCACCAGGGCTCTGGAAGCACAGCCACCTCCCTGTGCTCCCCACCCAGGCCAGGTGACTACTGCTTTTCAGTGACATTGCTGTTACTATCAGCACTGTCAGATGGTTAGTGGAACAAGAAACATTTTCTACCCAAAATCAGGACGTGGGAGGAATGTGTTGTTTCTATAAGCAACAAAGACTGGGTGCAAACTGGTGCTTAATATTCAGGGTCTGGAATGTAAGTGCATTGAATTAAAAAAAAAAAAATCAATGTGTGGGTACAGGGTAAAATATTTTCTAGTACATTAATTTTTTTTAAAAAAGGGCAGTTCAGGGTGGCGCCTGTGGCTCAAAGAGTAGGACGCCGGCCCCATATACCAGAGGTGGCGGGTTCAAACCTAGCCCCGTCTAAAAAAAAAAAAAAAAGCTAAAAAAGGGCAGTTCATGTGTGTGTATGTATGTAGTATATGCAGACACGTGTGCATGTGTGAGGGTTGTGTGAGTGCATGTGGGGGTGGGAAGGAGTGTGCATGTGTGGCAGTGTGTGCATCTGTGCACACACATAGACTGCGTGCTGTGTGGACACGTGCAGGCATGTTGGCGTGCATGTGGATGTGTGGGCATGCATATGGACGCGTGGGCTTACATATGGCTGTGAATGCTTGCATATGGACATGTGAGCATGTGTGTGGATGTGTGTGGACAGGTGTGATGCCACGTCATAAGGCAGATGTCCGAGAAGCGCCCTCATGGTTTCCGTTCCACAGCTGAGCAGCAGGGAGCACTATGGCTGGCCCTTGGGGCTGCCTCTGGGCTGCAGGACTGCAGGGTGTGAAGCTCTGCCTGACTTCCCCCACACCCCAGCTCAAGGAACCCCCCCACCCCAGTTTTCTGCTCAGCTAGAAACCAGCAGTTGTGACACTAAACGTGCCTGTCCCTGACCAAGCCACAGAGACCCTTTTCCTCTCTCTCAGGAATCTGGCTGAGGGAAGGGGGACACATGGGCACTCATAGCTCCCACACCTTGCTGAACACAAAATTTAAGGAGCTCTTTGAACATGTGGAGGCCAGAGAAATGGCACCCCTGATACTGGCAGGCCGGGGGCACCACATCACAGCCAGAAAGTGCCCCCGCCCCTGGCTCCTAGGGCAGCGACCTGAAGGCTTCTTGGAGGCCTGGGCGTCCTGCCGGGATTGGCCTCAGCTCAGCTTGAGCCCCATTTCTGGCTGATCACTAGAGGCTGGGCCATGTCCAAGGCAGGCAGGGCTGCTGGGTGAGACTCTGTGGGAAGCTGAGCCAGCTCCTGGTCCAGTCAGAGGTGGCTCCCAGTAATAGCTCAGACATTAGCCGTGGGGGGACCAGACTGTCCCCAGCTTCCAGCCAGTGACCCACCTGTCCCCAGGGACACCTGTCTCTCACCCCATCCTGCCCCTCACCAGCCAGGAGCAGAGATGTGTGTCCCATACACCTGCCAGTGATGGGCATGTGCCTCCTTGTCCAACCCAGTGAAGCCTCATCCTCTAGGTCTAGGCTGAGGCATTGTGACGATGAAAGGAAGTCTGCACTGGCCGCGTAGGAACCGGATTTGCCCTGTGTCTCACTTACTTCCCAGCACCAGAGGAAGTAAGCCCCAGGGACAGCTACTAAGAGCCTTGGACCGGCCAAAGCCCCAGACCAGCACAAGTGAGTTAGTGCACGTTGAAAGAGGCATAAAGCGCTCAGCCCACAGAGGTGGCCTTCCCTTAGTCACAAGGTCCCAGGTGACCCAGAGCAGAGGTTGGGTCCATCCAGGCTCAAATCCCGAGGCGGGCACAGAGAATGGCAGGGCAGAGATGCAGGGGGACTGGAGACCTCAACAGGGCCCCTGGGAGACAGCCCCAAAGATAAACAAACAAACCATCGCTAGGACAGCCACTAGGCAAAAAGAAAACACTCTCACCTGGATGGTCCTGCAATCTGGCGTGGGCTCCACACACCTGCACACAAAAGATGACACTGTCAGACCACACGGGAAACCCTCACAGCAGAAGTCAAGTTCACTCTCAAGAACAGCCACGTGAGAACGTTACCTGAAAGTTGCAGTGAAGTAACAGCAGCCACGGGCACCAGCAGTGAAGCCGCAGCCACTTCCTCATGGTTTTCCTGGCGGGCACAGCCTGATCCAAGTGTGGTTCCTGAGGGTCCCCGAGAAAGTGCCCTCTTCAACGTTCGCTTCCTTGGGAGAGGGGCATTTTCACAGATTCCCGGGAGGAAAAAGTTTTGTTTCCTTAAAATTTGTGAAACACAGCAGTCTTGGAGAGTTAATGGGTGTTTCCTCCTCGTCTCAAAGGTTGAGATTCTTGGGTGATCGATAAACACATTGTGAGGACTGGACCAGCCGTGGAATGCGGGGAGGAGGGACGCGAGTCCCAGTGGCTGTGTGTGCAAGCGGTTCACACACCGGGAGACTGTGTCCTTGCTTCAAGAGCCTTCGTTTGTCTCCATCCAAGTCTGAATTGGACTTTCCTCTTCTTTCTTGAGGTGGGAGAAAGCAAGAAGCCTTCTTGAGTGACTGCTCCCTGGGGCTCCTGCCTGCGCTGGAGCCTGCCCTGGAACTTGCTAACTCCTCCTGTCTGGCTCAAGTTTACAACTCTGTCTCTGGGTGGAGGGAGCAGTGATGTAAGCCTCCCTCCTCAAACCTTGTCCTGCGCCTTCTCTATTTATATCCATCCCACTGGGTCTTTCCTGGGTCCTAACTCCAGTCTGTTAAGAACAGCTGGAAATACTCTCAAGACCTAAGGTTCAGATCAGACCAGACACTGGCATGTGGGTGTTACACAGCTCCAATCAGCACAAGTATTAAAAAGTATAAAATGTAAAACAAACCTGTTTAGCTTTAACTCTGGTTTGCCCGAAGGAAGGCACAAGGTGATACATGAATGGAAAATAAAAATAAACACTGTGCTCTCCACCTTAAGTGTTAACCATATGTTTCTCGGTAACTCTTTTGGAAGTCAGCAAAAGCTACGGAATTATTTACACTGTGCGATTACACCAGACACCATAACTCAAGCTCCAGCACCCAGGATAGTGTCTCAGTGTGATAAGTCAGACGCTTGGCCAGCCATGCCTCAGTTTCCCCAAGACCAGAGTTTATCTGATCTACTCTAAAGACAAGTGTACACACACAGACACACACACATGTCATTACAACCACAGCTATGTTGACCGTGTGATCTGACGGTCACTCACCTTTCTGTGAAATACTCAAAACTGACTAACTATGCTCTTAGGCAAGTCACTCTGTCTCTCTGTTTCCAATTCAGAGAGAATTTGTTCCCACTCAACAGGGTCATGATAAGACACGAGATGATACATTTAAAGCTCCTATCACAATGCTTGGAAAACATGTGGTGCTCAAGAAATGTTATTTTTAGTTAAGAAAATTTATCAGTCAATAGATGTTGGCTATGATTATTTTAAAGTAGAAAATAACACCCAATAAATGTTCGCTAATATTGTTATCTCCATTATCCTGACTTTAAATGGGAATTAGGAGTTTTGAACCACCTACTTCCTAAAGAGGAGAAGTAACGGACGTCCAAACTGCGTGCGTAGGAAAAGAGAAGTGATGTCCAGGGGAAGGTGACTATTTTTAACTTGTGCCTGCAGCCAACAGCTGCTTAGATTCTCTGATAGCCTGGACCTCCCAGCTCAGCTGGAGCAAGGAGACAGGTGGTTTCTAGAACATTCCCACCACCTACAGCTTGATAAACTGTGACCTCCAAAGCTCAGGCGTCATTGTGACCTTAGACCCATGGAGGCTGATCATTTACAACCTTTATCTCTGTGTTCCATCCACTTTCCACTCCTTTCACTGCGTCCCTTTGGGAGGAGGTGAAGGGAGGGACAGGCAACCTTAGCTCCTGTCTTTCTTTTTTTTTCAGGCAGTCTCACTCTGTACCCTGGGCTAGAGTGCTGTGACTTCATAGCTCCCAGCAACCTCAAACTTTGGGCTCAAGCAATCCTCCTGACTCAGCCTCCCAAGTAGCTGGGACTACAGGTCTCTACCTGGCTATTTTTTTCTACTTTTAGTAGAGATGGTATCTGGTTCTTGCTCAGGCTGGTCTGCAACTCCTGAGCTTAAGCAACCCACTGGCCTTTGCCTCTCAGAGTACTAGAACGACTGGTGTGAGCTACTGTGCCCACCCAGTCTTAAGTTCAGGAGAATTAAGCAGATTCCTGAATAGATGGGGCCTTCCTCATCTCCAGGTCTGAGCAAAGCTGACTTTTCTTTCCAGTAATAAAATTGTCATCAGATGACAGAAGAGTCATTACAAAACTGGGTAGGAAATGGGCGTCTCCCCAGCCCGCCCCAGACTGAGTTTGGATCTCCAGCCCAGACTATGGGAGGATGCCAGCATGCACCCTTCCCTTCCCCAATCCTCCTTGCTCAGTGGCCCAAGGAAGAGCCCACCTTCACTTAAAGCAAGAGTGGAAGTTCTCAGAAGGGCACTGGCTGGTGGGTGGGCCCTGGATTGAGCAGCTTGAAGCCTTTTGAGCAGCTCAACCCGTCCCCTCCTCAGGTCATCCCCAGACACCATCCTGATGGCTCACTCCCCGCCTCATAAAGCCCGAACCTACTGTATTTTTCTCAAAGCCACTAATCACTATCTGTATCCTTCCTATCTTAAACTTTTACTTTGTTTATTGTTGGTCTTTGCCCGCTGAGATGCCCCCAGAGAGCAGAGAATTCTTTCTTGCTTCTTCTCTCTGGACTCCCAGCCCAAGCACAGGGCTCGGTACCTAGCAGGCATCCAACACTCACTATCCAAACAGTATTTTTTGAGTGAGTACATGCAGGCTTAACTTAAGGTCTGAAAAAAGTTGTTGTACTTGGGTGAAATACATCAGGCTTCTGCTGAGTAAATGCTAATTAAACATTAAAACAGGGCTTTAAGTTCTGATTAAGGCACTACTCAGTGAATTTTCACAGGGACACTGCAGAATGGGACGCCAGCTGACCATGGGGACATAATTGGATCATTCACACAGGTGGTGGCCTGTGCACACCTGAGTAAGTTTCCTCACCCCAGAGGACCACATGGGCCTGCAGGGAAATATCTGTGAGCAGCCCCAAGGCTGAAGGCAGCCAGAAGAGCTGTGAACATAAGGAGTTTCTGACTCCTGAATCACCCCTAGCCGCGCCTCCCTGTGGCCATGGCTCTCCATAAACCATAGTGTCTCTGAGAAGCATGTGGATCTCATCACATTTATTTCTGTGTCATGGACACAGCAAAAAGAGCCAGGATTCTTATGCGATGCACAAGGTGCTATAGAAATTAACGGGGTTAGAGGGCTTTGGGGGTGAATTCACCAAAGAAGTGATGTGAAGGAGTGAGGAAGCTCTTTCTCTCAATGGCTAAGGGAAAGAAGAACATTCTGAAAAGAAATATGCAATGGGCTAAAGCTCCGGATACAGCACATGCGCATCGAAAATATACATTGTCTTTGCTGGCACAGCCTCCTTTTCCCTTTTGGAGAACACATCCTTCACCATGAACTTCAAGAGAACGTCAGGGATTGTGGCATGTGACACATTGAGGGAACATTCCTGGCACCTTCCTAACATAGGCACTGTAATTGGCCCAGAGGTGTACATGTGACCTACTACTACTGTAGGTCTCCCCTGGGGTTAACAGACTGACCTCAGGAGAAGACTGCCCTCCCCACTGGAGTTGATAACCCAGAATGATCTTAAATGAAAGCTGTTGACGCCCATTTTGCTCACTACAAAGAAAATAATAACCTACAGCATCAAATGAAGGGCAAACATAGAAATTCTAGCATCCTAGCATGGAGAAGGCCAAGAGAGAACTTGATGGTGTTGACTGAGCCTCTGGATCCTGCTGTACCTAAAGCTACATCCCCCCCCCCCCCATCATCCCCAATCCTTTCATGTTTGGGTGCAAGCAAGTTTGAGCTTGGCTTCTGTCCTTTTTGTTTTTGTGAAACAGAGTCTTGCTCTGTCTCCCAGGCTGGAGTGTAATGGTGTCATCATAACTCAGTGTAACCTCAAACTCCTGGGCTCAAGGGATTCTCCTGCCTCAGCCTCCTGAGTAGCGGAACTACAGGCGCAACACCATGCCTGGATAATGTTTTTATTTTTATTTTTATTTTTTAAAGAGTCAAGATCACACCAGGTTGCCCAGGCTGGTCTCAAATCTGTGGGTTCAAGTGATTCTCCCCTCTTTAGCCTCCCAAAGTGCTGGGGTTACAGGCGGGAGCCACTGTCCCCGGCTTCATCCAACTTTCAAAGAGGAGGAGAGAAAGGATAAAAGCTTAAGAAACTGCTTAGTTGGTAAGAGGTGTTTTAAGTAAGACTCTGCAGGAAGGACATTGCTAATTACCTACCACCAAATCTATTCTCTTCTTTCCTTCTGTGCAGAATCCCAAGTTTACCTGGATGCCAACATGCTCAGGTAGAAGTGATCTTCAGCTGGCCTCTTCAGCAAGGCACAGCCACATGAACTAGGTATGATGAAATGTAGGCAGCTGTCTCTTGAATAGGCTTCTGCAAAACACATTTTTAAAAGGCCCCATTGATCTCTGCTCTTCCTAAAGCCTTCTGACCTTGGCCCCTTCTTACGTGAGAATGGGACAGGTGTGGGACAGCTATCCCAACATTACGAGCATAAAAACCACAAGCCTTTCTCCTGGAGTGCAGAAAAACGGCAAGAGCATCACAGCTGTCACAAGGAAACCCAGTTAATCTATGAAATCACAACTTTTCATAAACCCATGAGGGAGATGAAAGGGGAAACCACCCAGCCTGAAATATCAAGAGAGATAGCCAAGTCTAATGAGGGATGGGACAAAAGTGTTGTCTCACAGGTGGCAGAGCAAAGGAGGAAGGTGGAGCCCAACAGGTAAGAAGAGCTCAGTGAAAGATTTTAATGAATCCTAAAAGGCAGCTGCACCAAAGGGAAGTTTGTCCCCACTCAGCTGCTTCTCCTTGGATGCCCAGTTTGTGCAAAAGCAATGTTTGGGGCAGGCAGGAGGCTAGGGAGCTGCAGGCACCACCATGCAAAAGAATGAAGCCCCACCCTGACCTCTCTCCCCCGGGAGCAAAGTCCCCAGGTTGCTGGGATGACAG